CAGGCCCTGGGGTGGTGGAGGCAGCGGGGCTGGGCTGCAGCTGGGTGTGTGGCCCTGGAGGGGGCATTCGGTGGTGTCTGGGTCAGTTGGAGAGGTAGCTGGGGAGATAGTGCTGAGTGAGGGGACGAGGCCCGCCTGGCAGCCCTGATAAGCCCTGACCAGAAGACAGAATGGGGGAGGGGAGTTTCCTCTCGCTGCCCAGGCAAACCCAGGGCCCCCAGGGAAACCAGAGTGGGCAGGTGAGGTTGGGAGGAGCTTCAGGGAGGGGTAATAATAATAATAATAATAACAATCATAATGGCCTAGGTGTGCAGGTGCCCCTGAGGTTCTAGGGTGGGGGGAGCAGCCCTGAAGGGAGTGGGAGCTGGAGGAACAGGGTGTGGCGCTCAGGACCCACTTTGCAAACCACATTATCTGTTGGGGAAGGGTGGGGGACAAGCCTGGCGACTCCTGGTGCCACCTCTGCCATATTCCTGCCAAGCCAGCTGTCCTTGTCATCTGTGAGGCAGGGAACAGTCAGAGCACACGGACTTGTTAGGAGGTTGTCGTGGGAAAGAAACGGGCAGAAAAGTGTCCCTGCACCTGCGGACAGAGCGGTGCTGCCAATGGCTGGGTCCTTTCTAAAGTCTCAGAGGGTGGGTTGGCCTGCTGCTCTGAGAGGTGCCCCCCAAGCCTCAAGGAGGGAGACAGGGGCCCAGACTCCTGCAGGGGGAGCTGGTCTTTGATCCTCAGGATTGGGGGTCTGGTGTCACACCACTTCCACTTGATCTTCATGATCACCATCCTGCCCCTTGTCCCCACTGTCACCACCCCCCTCATTGTCATTAGCTTCAGCAGCGGCAGTTAATTACCACCTCCCAGTGTGCCCACTGGCATGACCTCCATCACCACCACCCCTGCCATGTCTGCGGTCATTGTCATCACCCCATGCACCACGTGATTGCCACTGTCACCACGCCAACTCCAACCTGACAGACACTCCCCCACCCTGCCCATGGCTGGACCTTTCCAGCAACACTCCTCCCCACGTTCAGCCTGGGCACCCCTCTGGCACCGCCACCATCATTACAGGCCCTATCCAGTATTGCCCCCTTGTCCCACCTTCCCTGATTTCCTTCCTAAAGCTCCTGCTCCTCGGAGCCACCAGGGAAAGAAACCCAAGTTCCCCTGTCTCCTGGCCACAACTCCTTCTGGTTCTGGGAAGGAGGTGCTTTGTTATTGAGAAAGAGGGGCTGGCGGGGTGGGAAAGGGAACTGAAACTCTGGAGAGGCAGAGGGAAGAGGGGAAACGGGAAGAGACAGCGGGTGGGATGGGAGATCGAACAGGGGAACCGCAGCCTGAGCCTAGGTGGAGACCAGACAAAGCTGGCTCTGACTCCGAGACTGTGTGGCTGGTCACCATCCTTCGCCGGGCTTCCCCCCTCTCAGGGAAGAGACCCCCATGCACCCTCTGAGTTTCCCTGGAGGGATGCCTCTTCCTGGAATGCTTTTTTCTTCTCTCTGCTGGAAAACTCCTCCTTATCCTTCAGAGCCACACTCAAAGGATTCCTGATGGTGAATCTTTCCCTGAGTCTTTGGGACAGTGGTGATCCAAGTCCCCTGTGTGTCCTCTGTCATGACTCTGAGTACACTGTCCACCCATCGGGCTCCCCTGAGACTGTGTCACCTCAGGCCAGGGTCAGTGGCTTGTGTAGACAGTCTGGAAGTGGTAGATGCCCAGAGAGACTGACTGGGGGGAAGAAATGCCCAACTGCACTTTTATAGAACACCTGCTCTGTCTGGCTCTGAACACAGCTGGCCACTGTGACCTAGCAGCCCTGTGAGGCAGACCCAGGTATTAACCCCATTCCTTAGATGACCAACCCAGGCTGGAGAAGTTAGTGGCTTGCTCAGGGGCACAGGGCTCAGGGAGAGCTCTGACTCCAGCTGCCCGGTTCTTAACTTCATGAGCTCACCAGTGTAGAATGGGACAGGCGGTTGGCAAATGCTGCCTGGGCATTGTGGGAGGACGGGAGCCCCGTGCCCATCACAGGACAGTGTGGGTCCCAAGGTCACAGCTCTGTGTGATCTCAGAGCTGAGAGAGAGTGCAGCACTGCGTCCAGGTGAAACCAGGGGTGTGGGGGGAAGGCGTGGGCTGGGGTTCTGGAACCTAGACTCCGGGGTTTCAGGTCTCCCCCAGCTTATGTCATAGGTAAGCCAGGTACTTTCCAGGAGCTACCAACGGCTCTTGGGTAGGGACTCGGGTGGGGTGGTGGGAGCCTTAGGGTACAGGCCCTGGGGGGCCTGGGGCCAGGAGGTCCTGGCATCTGGGTGTGACATCCTAGTGTGTAGGAGTCCTGTCCCCTTGGCCCTCCTGTGTCCAATCATCCAAATGACTCCAGGTACAAATGCGGGTGACTCTCCTCATTGATCAGAGAGGGAAACTGAGGCCAGGGAGGGGCCAGGACCTGGTCAGGGCCACAAAGCAGGGAGACATGGAGGAAGCCTCCTGTGCCCCAGCTGCTGTCTCCAGAGCTCTGAGTGTCCAGGCTGGGGCTTGGCTGCCAGGGGAGGGTGGGAGGATGGTTGGAGACATCAGACACTGAGCCCAGGGCAGCCAGCCCCACCCTGAGGGGAGCCTTGGGCCCTGGGAGAGGGAGGCAATGGGGTTCACTTCCCAGCTGGGCCACGTGGCACAGGACATGTGAGTTCTCCTCTGTGGGCCTCCATTTCCTGTCTGTAAAACGGGGGAAAGGCCGCCTCTCTTGCAGGGTTTTGGGAGATTGCAGTGCAAGCCTGTCAGTACAGGTCTGAGCACACAGTAAATGTGAGATCCTCTTCACCTCACTTCCTAGCAGGCCCCTCCTCCTTTTCTCTTGGGTCAGAGACTGGCACCTTCCATGGAAGGCTGGAGCCCCTGCACACGGTCTGAGTCCATGAGGTTGCCTTGCTGTGTGACCTTGGGCTGGTCCCTGCCCTCTATGAGCCTTGGGGTTCTCATCTGGCAAATGGGAATAAAATCACTGCCCTCCTCCACTGCAGGGTTGTTGAGAGGTGCCATGGGTGACAGGGTGCCTGGCTTTTAAGCACACATGGTTTTGACAACAATAGAACCATTTCCGCTGCTGCTGCTGCTTCTTGCTCTAGCTGAGGGGTGGGAGCAGAGATGGGGGTGCCTCTCTGCCTCTGGAGGGGCTGGGGCAGCAGGCTTCCTCTCTCAGGGCTGCTTCCTGTTGGTGCCAGTCACAGCCCCACCTCCCTGCCTGCGCTCTGGGTTGCTCTTGGCCTTCCTGTTGAGACAAACCTGGTATACTCTCAGCAAACCTGGTGTACTCTCAGCAGGCAGAGGGGCAGCAGGAGCAGGTTCCCTGCTCCCAGTACAGCCCAATGTCTCCACTCCAGCACTCCAGCCGGAAGTAGATTCTGCTTGCCGACACCCCTGCCAGGCCCTGAGCTCAGGGCTTTGCAGACACAATGCGACTTCATCCTTTAAGTCCAGCGATTGCCATTTTCCAGATGAGAAAGCTCAGAGAGGTGAAGTGACTTGCCTAAGGTCATACGGTGACCTGGATTCAAGTCCATCTCCATCTGACTCAGGAGCCCGTCTCTTCATTTCTCTTCCATGCTATCACTCTCCACCTTGCTAAACAGGATGTAACATGGCAGGAAGACAAGTTGAGACCTGTGTCTGAGCTAAAACAACACACACACACACACACAAAACCACACACACACACAACAACAACAAAACCCACACAGTCAGCAAAGGAGTAAAGGGGAAGACAAATGGTGGGTATCTGGTTGCCTGTCTGCTGAGCATGAGTTACAAGTACAGGGCTACCTAGAAAGTCATGTAATCTTAGGCCATATTAATAGAAGTAGGGAATCCACTACCAGGGAGGGGACAGTTTTGTTGTTCTCAGTGTGGGCAGGTGGTGCCTAGAGAATTGCATGCATGTGATGGGAGAAGGGCGGAGGGCCTGCTGCAAGGACATGGACTCACAAAAAGTTGTGAGTTCCTTGTGGTTGGAAGCATTTATGTAGAGGCTGCTTGGCATAGGATTCCTGTATTGGGTGGTGGGAGGCATGGACAAGGTCACCTCCAAGGTCCTTTCAAACTCAGTTTTGTGGCTGGACTTCAGCTGTTGCTAGGGCTACCCCAATACTCAGGTCTATCAGAGACACCCCTTCTCCATCATTCACAGCAAGGATCCGCTGAGGGGGTGGGGCTCATGTGTTCATTTAGTCATTCAACAAATAGAGCAGCTGGAGCAGTGAACAAGAGACACAGGCTTTCCCTGCCTGGAACCTGCAGTGGTGTGGGAATCATGGCTATACTCATGGAGTGAGTGCTTACTATCCGCAAGGCATGTCACGTGAATTGTCCCATCCAGCCCCACTACAGCCCTGTGAGGCACAGATCATCACCCCCATTTTGAAGATGGGGAAATTGGGGGCATGGGGATGGGATGGTGGCACCTGGGGAGTCAGGGCTCAGATGCTCTTCAGGCCCTCCCAGGCACGTGTTGATGACTCCAGGAGCTTGAAGCGCTATGGTACTCAGGGGCTGTGACGAAGTTCCCACGATGCCCAAAGCCTGTTGTTGCCAAGTGGGTGCAGAGGAGGAGCCCCTAGCCCCTCCCTGCCTCGGCCTCCTCAAGTCTGCCCTTCAGTGGAAACAGTTCCCGCTTACTGAGCACTGAGCATGGGTCTCAGGCTCTCCTGGGTCAGTCTCATGGACTCCTCACGATAGCCTCCCGAAGGAATTCCAGTGTCGCAGCCATTTTACAGATGGGAAAACTGAGGCACACAGCAGTCCAGCAGCTTGCCTAAGGTCACACAGCTGGAAAAAACAAGACCCAGGATTAAGAGCTTGAGCTGTCTGTCTCAACCGGGATGCCCCACTGAGGGCCCTCTGTCCTCTCGGGACCCCTCCCACAAGCCCCACTGAATGCCATCTTGAGGAAGGGGCCGGAGGAGGAGCCGCGCGGCCCTGCTGACTGACTCTGTTTTGCCCCCAGATCATGAGCATCTTGCTGTTCATTGAGCACTCAGTGGAGGTGGCCCACGGCAAGGTCTGCAAGTTCTCACAGATGGGCTACCTCAGGGTTGGTAGGTCCAGGGGGTGCTCGGGGGGGTGGGGAGGGGGAAGGCCCTGGCCAGGGTAGCCAGGCTGGGGTCCAGGGCCCGCCACCTCCAGGCTGGGCGGCCCGGGCAGGTCCCTCATCTGGAGATGGGGATGTTCCGCCTGGCCCCACCGGGGCCCCAATGGTGAAAGCGGAAGGGGCAGTACTCTGCAAGCCCCACCAGCGTGTGAAGGTGACAGCCACACACTCCTGCATAAGCCCATCGGTGGCGGCTGCACCCAGTTAGAGTACACCGGAAACTCCCCACTGTGGGACCCATCCCTGCTGGCCTCCCCGACCACATCTCCCTGCAGGCTCCTACCCCAGCTCTCTCCAGCCACACACACTGACCACACCAGGCTCGTCCCTGTCTTGGGCCCCTGCCTGGAGCACCCACCCCCCACGGCTCATGGCTGTCTCCTTAGCACTCTCAGGCCGCTCCTCAGGGATGCCTTCCCCTGGTGACCTCCTTCGGCTCCATGTAGACCCCAACCTGGCACACTCTGTTCCATCACCTGCTGTCCTTGTGTGCCTTGAGCCTGAGGACTGCAGGAGGGTGGAGCCTGGGCTTTCCTGTTCACGCTCATGGCCTCACACCAGCAGTTCCCAAAGTGTGGTCCTCGGAGCCTGGCTGGGGTCCCCAGGGGCACCCCAGGCCCTCACGGCTCCCCCTTGCCTTTCAGCCGACCTGATTTCCAGCTTCCTGCTCATCGCCATGCTCTTTGTCATCAGCCTGAGTCTGCTGATGGGAGTGGTCAAGGTAAGGGCCTGGGTTGGGGGAGGAGGGAAGGGAGTGGAGGAACCCCGGAGCCCCTGTTCCCAGCGGCCTCCTGGGTGAGTTTAGGTAACCACAGGAGACACTGGGAAGCCACTCTTTCTATGATTTTGTCCCCAACTGTGGGTGCATATGCATGAGTACTCCATGGTCTCCATGGTCATTTGCTTTCAACTTAAGGAGGACCTCGGCCTCAGCCTCTCAGGGTGTCTTTCCACACCATGACGGGGTTCACACCGTTGGTGGGCAGTGCCGGCTGCTGGGAGGGTGGGAAGTGCTTATCGTAGGGGATCCCGTCTGTACCCTGGGACTTTCACATTTGCCCTTTGGAGAGCCTTGTTTCCCTTTGGGATCCCTGGGGCTGGTGGCCTCAGTTTCCTGTTAAATGTGGTCTCCGTGCCCTAGCACAGGGGGCTGCATGGATTGCGACACTTTGGTGAGAACATCCTGGTGCCCCACAGGGAATTTCTAGAGACAAGAGGAAGTCTTGTCTGGGTACGGAGAGAGGGGAGAATGCCTTGGGTCTGGCAGTCAGCGAGAGGCATAGGGCAGGGAGTGTGGGTGCAGGCGGCTCAGTTCCACACAGTGACATGTGCCCATGCTCTGGGTGGGACCCACGCCCTGGAAAGTGCCCCAGGAGCTGCCAGTTTCATGGGGAAAGAGGACCCTCAGAGAGACAGGGGCATCCAGTGTGGCAACGAGGAGCTCCTGGGCCCGAGGAGAAGGTGAGGGGGAGTTGGGGCAGCTGGGGCTCAGCACCTGCAGCCAAGGAACTGCCATCACTTGGCCTGCAGAGCCGGCAGCCAGGGCCTGGCCAAACAGGACAGGACACAGAAGGAGACGGGCTGGTAAGGGGCCCAGCAGAACAGGTCGACCAGGTGCTGCTGCTTTGGAATGCTCTCCTTCCCCCCTGCCTGAAATGCCACCACCCACTTCCCTCGCTGACACCCACTCTCGGAATCTGTGCCCTCTGGGGGATGGTTAGCATGGCGCAGGGCAACTCTGGGTGCCTGTGCAGAAACCCCAGGGGCCTGGCTAGGGAAATGGAGCAGGTCGCCCTGAGCACCCTGAGGGCTGGGTTGTTTTGGCTGCCTCCTGGGTGAGTTTAGGTAACCCCAAGAGACACTGGGAAACCACCCTTTCTACGATTTTGTCCCCAACTGTGGGTGCATATGCATGAGTACTCCATGGTCTCCATGGTCATTTGCTTTCAACTTAAGGAGGACCTCGGCCTCAGCCTCTCAGGGTCTCTTTCCATGACTTGATACCCCTGGGAGTGGCCCATCTGGAGGAAGGTCCGACTATCTAGGCAGGGCAGGATCCCCCCTGCACCGGGCCTTTGTTCAACTGGCCCATCTGCCTCCAGTCGCCTACCCTTCCCCTCCAGCTTGCTTCTAATCACCTTTCCAGATCTAGCTCCCTCCTCCAGGAAGTCCTCTCTGATTCATTCTCCTCTGTAACATAGACACAGAGTCTTTCCTTGTTGGGCTCTTGTGAGGAGTTGAGTCAAGTTCTGCTCTCCGAGCCCCTATAGGTGGGGGCAGTTCCCTTACATCTTCTGCCACACTCACCATGCCGAGTCAGCTCTCACTTGGGGCCTAGGTCTTACCCCCATTCCCAGTGTCACTGAGGAAGCCATGTGGATCCCCACAGAGTGACCTCAGCTGGGCCTTGAGGGGGTGATGTGGGAGAGGGCGGGAAGGGAATGTCCGGCTGGGTGGGGGAGCCTTGGCCATGTGCAGGGGACACCCTGACCATGCTGGACCACCTTTCAGAACCGGGAGAAGTACCTGCTGCCCTTCCTGTCCCTGCAAATCATGGACTTCCTCCTGTGCTTGCTCACCCTGCTGGGCTCCTACATTGAGCTGCCCGCCTACCTCAATCTGGCCTCCCCGAGCCGCACTGTGAGTACCCAACCCTGTCCCTCATGCAGCCAGCAGAGCCCTGGCCCCACCCAGGGGCTGGGAGGGGGCTGGACACAGGTCCTGGGCTCAGGCTGGGGAGGGTGGGAGCCCTTTCCTGGGTGGCATCTCCAAGGCCCCCGAGCCCCTCCAAATGGCCCCAAGTTTCTTCCTCAGAAATATGTCTGCAGTCACCTCTCATGGGCGTGTCTTACGAGGTCTCAGCCCACATCAGCTCTGTGAGTGTGTGCGCACGCACGCACGTTCTGACACTATGGTGGGCGGCACATTCCCTGGGTCCCCAGGCCAGTCTTGTCCTCCCTTTGAAAGACGACTCAGGCCAGGGATGGGCATCTGCCGTGGGAATGGCAGGAGGCTGTGACGTCAGCATCGAATCTCCAGACTCTGCTCCTCACACGACTGTTGACTTTGAGGAAGCGCCCTGGCCTGGGAGTCAGCAGACCCCGGTTCTACTCTTGGGTCTGCCACCAGTCCTTGGCATGGACATCGGTGCGTCTGTGTCCCTCCGTGTGCAGGGACTAGAGAGTTGCCAATGTCTACCAGAGCCCACCTTGCAGGCAAGGGCCAGTGTGTGCCCCACAGCAACTGGACCTTACGTGCTAGTCTCTGTCTTCCCAAGGGCCACTCCAAGGTCCCGCTGATGACACTGAAGCTGCTGGACTTCTGCCTGAGCATCCTGACCCTCTGCAGCTCCTACATGGAAGTGCCCACCTTTCTCAACTTCAAGTCCATGAACCACATGGTGAGTCATTTGCTGGCTGTGTGGCCTTGGGCAAGTTGCTTTGCCTCTCTGTGCCCAGTGGTTAGGCTGGTTTCCCTAGAGGGAGAGCCTGGGAAGAGGTTTCTTGTGCTAGTGATTTACTGAGGGAGTGCGCTCAGGAAGAACTCTGTAAGGACCAAGGGAAGAAGGTTTGAGCAGGGAGGAAGCCGGACAACATGTGGCTTTAGCAGCAGCCCTGCCTGGCCCCAAAGAGAGTTTTGGAGTGGGAATTGCACCCCAGAACGCATACTCATTTTTTAAATTGCTGTCTAATAAATTATCCCCAAACATCTTGGCTTAAAACAATAAAAAATTAAAGCCAAGCATGGTGGCTCCTCCTGCCTATAATCCCAGCATTTTGGGGGGCTAAGGTAGGAGGATCACTTGAGGCCAGGAGTTTGAGATCAGTCTGGACAACATAGTGAGACCCCATTTCAGGAAAAATAAAAAGAAAAAGAAAATATTAGTAGGGCATGGTGGTGTGTATTTGTAGTCATAGCTGTTAGGGAGACTGAGGGAAGAGGATCAATTGAGCTGAGGATGTTGAGGTTATAGTGAGCTAGGATCGAGCCACTGCACTCTAGCCTGGGCCACCAAATAAGGCCCTGTCTCTAAAAAACAAAAAGCAAGCTATATATATATATATATAGAGAGAGAGTTGGAGTCTCACTCTGTCACCCAGGCTGGAGTGCAGTGGCATGTTCATGGCCTCGACCTGCTGAGCTCAGGTGATCCTTCTGCCTCAGCCTTCCAAGTAGCCGGAAATATAGGCACATGCTACCATGCCCGGCTAATTTTTTGATTTATTATAGAGACGAAGTCTTGCCTTGTTGCCCATACTGGTCTCAAACCCCTGAGCTCAGGCAATCCTCTTGCCTCCACCTCCCACAGTGCTGGGATGACAGGCATGAGCCACTGCCCCAGGCTAATCAACATTTCTTATTGCACATAGCTTCTGAGCATCAACCTGGGCTCAGCTTAACTTGGTTGTTCTGACTCAGGGTCTCTCATGAGGTTGCACCCAAGGGGTGGAAGGAGGCTGTGGCCATCTGAGGGCTTGATCAGTTCTCAAGGATCCACTTCCAGGATGGCTCACCCACGTGGCTGCGGGCTCTTTGCCTCACCTCATCCCCCTGTGGACGTGCAACAGTGCTGCGTGCGTGCCCTCCTACCATGGTGGCTGGCTTCCCTGAGGAAGTGCTCTAAGAGAAAGTGGGGTGGTTGGGGGGAACAGCAATATCTTTTACGACCTCGTCTCAGACATGGGACCAGCCAGTCCCTGGACATGAGCTGCCCCTGGGGAGGATGTGACCTTCCAGGTATTAGGAAACTGGGAGGCTCCCAGCAGCCAAGGCAGACTCTAGAGAGCATGAAAGTGTGGCCCTCGGGCAACTGGAACCTCCCAGTTGGGGACGGGGATGGGGGTAGCGGCATGTATGCTTCCCGTGGTTTGTTCACCTGTCAGATGGGCTGAGGGCAGCCCCTGCTCCCTAAGGCTGCTGTGGCGAGTGACTGAGGGGCTGGGTGGGCCCTCTGTGCCCCTGTGCACGTGGGCTTGTGCCTCCTGGATGTGTGGGCGCTGCTGGGACACCTCACGGCCAGCGGTGTTGATGTGGCTCCCATGTCTGTTGCAGAATTACCTCCCCAGCCAGGAGAACGTGCCTCACAACCAGTTTGTCAAGTTGATGGTCATCTTCTCCATCGCTTTCATCACTGTCCTCATCCTGAAGGTGAGTGGACCTGCCCTGCGGCTCCGGGAGGCGGGGCCGAGGCCCTGCTGTGGCCCAGGCACCCCCACACTGGCTGCTGGGAAACGGGCCATGTGTGCTCCTTGGCCGTCTTCCCTGCGTTTCATTCCCTCCTCCAGCCTTCCCATGCCAGCACCTCTCACTTTACTTGGGACCCTCATCGACAGCCCATTTAGAGGGCGTGGATCTGCCAGGACTGCCTGTGTTCAGGCGTCGGGGTCTTAATGCATAAACCAGGGGGAACTGCTCTGTCTGGAATTAGATACACACTGACTCGGGCTGGAATTCCAGTGTGTCCCTCACTAGCTGTGAGGTCAGTCATCAGCAAGTCACTTCTCTCTGGGCCTCAGGTGTCACCTGTAAAAGGGACATAATGAGTCTTGTTATGCTTTTGTGTGATTCAGGCGTCATAATGCAGATGGGACCTGAGGTCATGTTAATAGAGGTCTAGTAATGAGAAGGAAGGAGGTGAATGGTTGCATTCTTCTCTGGGATGATCAGGCCCAAAGGACAGGGCCTAGCTTCAGGCCCAGGTGTGAGAGGTGGCGACACACTAGAGTGTTCATAGCAGTACAACCAGCAGACTAAAGAGGCAAAAAAACTCTGCCACCTCTGGAGGCCAAGGAACTTGGGGCTATTCAGCTCAGAAAAGAGGTGACTCAAGGGACATGCTTAGCCAGGCTCGGTGGCTCAGCCTGTAATCCTGCACCTTTGGGAGGCTGAGGTGAGTGGATTGCCTGAGCCCGCGGGTTCGAGACCCGCCTGGGCAGTGAGACCTCATCTCTACAAAAAATCAAAATTATCAGCCGGGCGTGGTAGTGCATGCCTATAATTCCGGCTACTCAGAAGGCTGAGGCGGAAGGATCGCCGGAGCCCAGCAGGTCGAGGCTGCGGTGGCCAGGAGCGGCCACTGCACTCCAGTCTGGGCGACAGAGTGAGACTCCAACTCAAAAAAACAAAAACAAAAACAGAAAACAAAAAGCAAACAAACAAAAAGGGACGTGCTTGCTGTTTTTAAACACCAAGATAACTTGCGTGGGAAATTCTATAGGATCCTAGAGGCCCAACAGGGGTCTGGGGCCTGGGGCCTAAAGCCACAGGGAGGCTCATGTCCACAAAACAGAAGGAAGGTCTTGGAAAAAGTGTCCTTTTCTGATGACGGAGTAACACTGTAGCAATGTAAAGAGTACCGAGGAGCAGGAAGAAGCCCGTCAGTCCACCACCACCACCCACACCGGCCCGGAGACTGTCCCTGCTGATGCCCGGATGTGTTTCCTGCCAGTCCCTCTGTGCTGGTGGCGTCTGCAGATGCCAGCCCCCTCCACCTGCTCTCCCCTAATGCCAGCCTGAAGCAGAACCTTGTTCCTCTTATCATCCTCTCCAAGAACCGACCCAGCCCCAGGGCGTTAGTGAGTGCACACAGAGAACTTTCCTGGTGGCTTCGTGGGGGGAGCCAGTGCGGGGCTTACATGGTGCATGCTGCCGCAGGACACATCCTCCTGTCCCGCCAGACAGCCCCGTCCTGGGGAGGGGCTTCCCGCTCTGCCCCATCCTGCCTTGCTGGCCACCCCGACTTGCCTTCATTCTTTTGTGATCATAGTCTCTGCCTGGAAGTGTCTCTGCCCATCTCCCCACAAGGGGCACCATAGGACAAGGGGCCTTCCAAGTGACAGGGCCCTCTCCTGTTCCTCGGGAGGCAGTTGGGGTTGTCTGTTGTTCCCCGAGCTTGCCCCTTGGGACTCCATGCCCCACCTGGAAATTGCCCCAGATCTGATATCAGCCGCCGAGACAGCGGTCGCTTGCACGTATAAACACGCACCAGTGTTTCTAAATACAGCGTGTCAGAAATATTTCTGTGAAAACATTTCCTGCCATCAGCTCTGTCTCGAGGTGGGCGAGGCCATCTCAGAAGGTCGTGAGTTCACCATCAGGGGGCTGAGGGACTGTCGCCAGGGAGGCTGGAGGGTGGGCCGGAAGCCCCGCCAAGGCTCCTGCTGAGTGGTGTCTGTGGGCGATGGAAAGGCAGTGCCTGGAGCACACGGGAAGGGCTGGCGAGGGGCCCCCCACCGGAAGAGCAGGGTGGCGTTTCGAGCGAGCTGGGGCTCCCTCCTGGCACCTACCCCGGGACCCCCAGGGCGGGAGAGGGAGAGCTGGCAGAATACAGCCTAAGGGGGCCTCTCTGCAGTTCTACATGTTCAAGTGCGTGTGGAGATGCTACAGACTCGTGAAGGACATGAACTCGGCCGAGGGGAGGGCCAGCTCCAAGGAGCTCCCGAAGGTGAGTGAGCCCCAGGCTGGGGGCCAGCGCTGCCCTCACTCCCTGTACCATCCATGTCAAGTCCCTTTCCTTTTCCTTCTCTGGGCCTCGGGTTCTCCACTTGTGAGATGAGGGTTGAACCAGAAGAAAAGTGATGTCTTTTAGCTCTGACAGTCTAAGATTCTATTCATTCATTCATTCAGTGTTTTCTGCCTCTCCCTCTTTGCTAGTCTCATATCCAATCGTGGGGGTGCAGCGAAAACTAAGATGTCACCCCTGCCTTAGAGAAGTGACTGGTCCAAAGTGAATCCAGACAGATCCAGTTACAACTTGGTGTGAAGCACAGGGACAATGGACACAGGGAAGGCTTCCTGGAGGAGGTGACACATGACCTAGTCTTGGAGGGTCAATGGATATGAGATAGCTGGGGAAGGGGAAGGTGGCCTTCTGGGCAGAGAGGAGAGGGTGAGCTTAGAAGCAGCTTACTGGAGAAGTGTTGGGACAGGGGCAGCTGACTGGCTGCTTACTTTCCTCATCTGCAAAGTGGGGATTGTATTAGGCAAGACAGTTGTGGTTGCAAGCAGTAGAAAATCAACTCAATCTCACTCAAGTAACACAAGGAATGCACTAGCTCACAGAACTCAACAGTCCACTGTAGGTCTGGCTCAGGCCTGGTTGAGTCCTGGCATCAGAGTATGATCTCATCCTTTTCATCTCATGACTTTACTTCCCTTACAGTTAGCTTATTTTTTAGGCAGCCCTTTCCTCATGGTGGCAAAATAGCTGTCAAATCCCCAAGGTTGACATCCCATTCTCTCAGTAACCCCAACAGAAAAAGAAAGTCCCAGAAGTATGTCTGATTGGACTAGGTTGGGTCACATGCCTATCCCCAAACCAATGACAATCACCAGGGGGATGGAATTCTACTTTGAGTGGCCAAACCCAGTCATATGTCCATCCCCAGGAGGGGTGAGAACAGTTCTTCTAGAGGTACACAGATTGAGAATGCTTTCCCAAGGAAAATGGTGCATTGTTATAGAAACAAGGGGAACTTGGTGCTGAACAGGCAAAGGCAAGTATGTCCCTTCCAGGATCAGATACCACACCTATATCTCCCAGGCAATGTCCAGCACATGGTAGTATCCAAGACCTGCTAGTCACTGTTGTCATCATTTTGCTGGAGGTGGGGGTCTGGGTCCCTTGACCCTGGGTTGGAAACGTGGGTCCTCCTCAGCAATTCTCAGCCCTCATCTCTCTGTCTCTCTCAGGTGGTCCTGCCATCCTATGAGGAAGCCCTGTCTCTGCCATCCAAGGTTCCCGAGGGGGACCCACTGCCACCCCCGTACTCGGAGGTGTGACCCTTGCCAGGCTCCGGCCCTAGCGCTGGGAGGGGTGGAGCTGCCTCGTAATCTGCTTCTTTGCTTTGGTGGCCACCGTGGCCTGGGTGGACACCGCCCCCCTGGTCTGACTTCAGGGCAGTCCCCTCGTGTCCCCCTCACTGGCCTTTTCCTTCTGCAGGGCCTGTGAGATGCTCACAGTTGGGTCAACCCTTTTGGCTGAATTACTCCTTGGGCCTCAAACACTCAGTCCCACAATGCTCAGTCTATTTCAGTCAGCTCTGACAGTTGTTGAGGCCATGGGCCATTCTAAATTGGGTGAGTTTGCTAAACAACTAACTTGATCTGTTCAACCAAGCAACTGACAGATCAAAACGTACATGTCAGTTCAGTAAAATAATTTGGTCAAGCAACAGTCCGTTGTATTGGTTTATCAACATTGTCATTTCACACAGCAATCAAGTAATAATCAATTAGCCACCCCCCCTAAATGTATATAATCAATTTCTCCAAATAGCTTTCATGAACAATGATCAGTTAGTCAGCCCTTGGTCATTTAGAATAGTGAGAAATAGAATACATAGGATAGTGATAAAATTCAATTTAAAAAATCAAGTCAACCTCAAACCGCTTATTTCAAATGAACTCAACAACTGGCTGCCCACCCTGGTCACTTCAGTACCTCTGAGTAAGCGGCTGCATAGGTGTTAATTCAAATGAAAATCAATGATGTAGTTGCCAGACTGTTCCCCCACAGCTAGCTCCAGGAAGTAACAGCTGTTTCGATCATAAACCAGGCCCTTGAAGCACACAATTGTCTTGTGAAGAGCTGTCATCATCAGCAGTCAAACGCTTGCCTATCTGGGGGCTCTGCGGTCCCCGAGTCGCACGGCAGCAGATCCATGAAAAGGATCAGCTCAGTTGTCCTCTGGGAACAAGCTGGCAGTTAATTCCCAGGCCAGGATGCTGACAGCCACTGGTCAGCCGTAGGCAACTTAGTCTGTCTAAGGCTTGTGGTCAAGCAGAAATTCTGCCCTGCAGTCAGGCACATCTCTTTGTTGGACTAAATCCACAGGTTAGTTCAGTCAAAATGGGCAGACCCCTTGTGGGCGCAGACCCTGCCCCTGAGGTCCGGCTGGTGGTGGCCGCCAGGAAGGGCCCCGACACCCCTCTTTGTCCTCTTCCCTATGGGTCGGGGTCCCTGAGAGAGCAATCCAGAAGTGGAGATAGGGCCATGGAAGCAGGGTCTCTGGGACGAGAGAGAGGGTTGTGCAAGAGGTCCCTGCCAACACCCCTTGTGTCATTGCTTTATGTGTGACAGGGAAGGCGTTTCAATAAAGCAGCAATAAGCTTCTCGCTGGTTGATGTGTTTCCTGAAATATGTACGGGGTAACTGGGGACCTGCCTTCTACCTCCGTCACTCACTCCCAGCTTGTGTGTAGACACACACACACACACACACACACACACACACACACACACCTGTTCCTGCAGTCCAGAAACTCCTCCCGTGGGCCATGCTCAGCAAGTGAGCATCACGATTCGACGCCATCTGGGATCCCGCATCACAGCACTCCGAGGTCTCCTGAATCTGGCGTGGACTCTGCTGGCCTGGAGAGCACCTGCCAGGAGCCAGGTCCTGCTCTGGATACTGGGTATGGCCCCAGTGGGTCAGACTTGCCTCCAGTCACTCTCAGTCTGGGGGGGGGACAGATCCATAAACACTTGTAATAGCCCATGGTCAGCACCACAATGGGGCCAACCTGAGGGACTTTAGGCTCAGCCCAAGGGCCAGAGAAGACTTCCTGGAGGGAGGTTCACCGAGCTGAGTCTGAAGGCCTAGGCAGCAGCAGTAAGCACAGTGCGAAGGATGTTCTAGATCCAGGTAGTGCAGGTGCTCCATGGCGTGTGGGTAGGGGCAGGGGTCGGCAGTTCAGTGTGGCTGCAAGTGGGAAGGGGAGGGAGAAGAGGCTGGCCGGGTGTTGGGGCCCAGATTGGGAAGAGCCTTTGCACACAGTAGGGCTCTTGGACTGCAAGCTCACCAGGGCTAACCTCAGCCAAGAGGACATTTACCGGAAGGAGAGGGTGAATCGAGTTTATTAAAAAAAAAAAGATGGTCATGATGTTTTTTGGCTCTCTCATAAACTAAAAATCCAGGGATTTTTGGCTTCCGGCATGGCTGAATCGAGGACTCAAATTCTTCCATGATGTCTCTTTCTCTTTCTCCATCTCTTACCTTTCCTCCCAAGGGTTGCTGAACTGCTGAGGACCTGACTGACATCCAAGTCAATTGAGATCCCAGGACAGTCTGAACTGGGATCTGTCACAATACCAAAAGAGCATAGAGCCAAGGAATGTGTCCTTGGAGGGTTTTGGGAAGAGGAGTTAAGGGTCAGTTTGGGCTTTCGACAGGAAGAAATCAAATGCAGGAACCCACAAGAAGGTGGGGATGTCATCCTGTGGGGAGCAGGGGAGGGGATGAGTTTGAGAGGTATGGTCGACCTTCTGGTGTTGTCATCTTTTCTTGAGGATGGCAGATGTCTTCATGGACTTTATCTGCTCTTTATCAGACCCCAAGCAATTAGCAAAGTGCGGCTTTAACAGAGATGGACAGTGAGCTCCCATTCGTGCATGGGAATTGAGACCCAGAGACATCAAGTAACTTCCTTGAAGCCACACAGTGGTCACAGATTAGACCAAGTGTCTCTTTTTTTTTTTTTACTCCATGTGGAGGCTGTTGAGAGGGGCTGGACCCCAGTCTGTGAGCTGCTGTTTCTTGTGAACTACTCCCCCGCCCCACAGAAGCACCTACCAAGTGAGGGTGGGGAGCAGAGGTCACAGGAGGAGGGGGATTGGCCCAACCTTGCATCCCATCACAAGGGGACCAAAGGGAAGTAGCTGTGTGTCCCATGGATGGGAGACCCTGAGCTTGCTGAGGTGACTCCCTGGTACTTCCCCTTCCCCACTCCCACCCTGGACCAGAGCCCAGGAGCAGGCTGGGATGTGTAGTGGGATTGTGCCCTGTGGCCAGGCAGCTGGGAGGGGGCTGAGAGGAACAGGAAATAGCTGGGTTTGGGGAAGTCCGTGTGGTTGGCCAAGCCGAGCAAGCCGGAGCGCCTAGGCAGTCCTCGCTGCGGCCCATCAATGCCCCATTTGAGGCTCACACAGGGGTCCTTTGACAGGCCGGGATGGCTTGGACCCGCTGAGAGGGCCCGTTTGAGCTGGATGCCCGGAAAGGGGGCAGCCCGGGAAAGAGGGGCCCGTTCCATGGCTGGGCAGGTGAGAGCGGCTGGGCTGGCTGTGGCTTCGAGGGAAGGGGGCGGGTGAAACTAAACCCGGGGTGCTGAGTGGGGAAATCTCATTCCCGGGACTGTGATGGCATCAGGAGGGTCGCCATAACCAGGTGGGCACTTTGACGCCTCGGCTCCGGGTCCCTGTGCCTCTCGCGGCAGGTGCTGTGGGCTGACCATTCCTGAGGTTCAGGGAGCGGCGGGTCTGCCCAAAGTCACGCATCGGTCAAGGAACGAACTGGGCTTGGATTCCATCCCCTGCCTGGACCTGAGTGTGTCCCTGGACCGCTCTGGGTAACCTCGTCCATCCTCTGGAGACCCGCCACCTCACAAGGCCTGCGTTGAGCACCCATCCCAGGCCTCGAGCCCTCTCTGGAGGGCCCTGTGTACAGGGGAGGTCTCAGGGCAGCAGGTAGGATTGTGGACTGGAAGGGACCTTGGAGGCTGCTGGTCCCACTCTTCCCAGCCTCTGCCTGGGCTCACACTCCCATCTGTGGGGAGCCCTTTCCTTGCCAGGCCCTTCTCCCACCTCTTTCTGGGAGAGCAGTGTTACTTAGCAAGTACTTCCTCCTGCTGAGCTGAGGTCTGTTTTAACACATGGGTCTGGCTCTGGGGTCTTCTTCACTCCTGGCCTTGAGGGCTCTGCACATCTGCTCCCTGTGCCCACAGCAGCCTCTAGAGGATGGGCAAGTGGCCGCCCCCAGTCCCAAGACTGCTCCCACACAGAACATCTCCTCTGCTGTGCCCCTACTTGCCACCACCCTCACCCCCTACACACACACACACACACACACACACACACACACAGTGTACACACACACACACACGCAGACACGCACATGCAAGTTTTTTAGCTTTGAGTTAGGTGACATGGATTTTGGATCTCTGGCAGGATCTTCACTCATCCCTATGTTCACTCACTTATTCCAGAATATTCCTAAGGGGCCTACTCTGTGCCTGTCCTGGCTCTGGGTATGCAGGGTGTACACTGAAGAACAAGGCCCTGCCTGTCCTTGCCCAGCTGGGTATGGCAAGAGAGAGCCGAGGCAAGTGCAGAAGGGTACCATCAGCCCGGAGGTGGGGGTCGGGCGCCTGAGGGGAGGGAGAATGGCGGCCTCCAGCAGGGCAGAGTCCCTGGAGGAGGTGATTCCTGAGGCGAAGTGGGAGTTAGCCAGCAGAAGGAAGGGGAGGCAACTCCAGGTGGAAGGGTGATCTCTGCTGGGGAACGGGGCCTGAGGTAGCTTGGTGCAGTAGAATGGGGCAGTGAGGTCTAGGGAGGGACCCTGGAGCTGGAACTCTTCCAGTTAGAGGCCACATGATACAAACCTCATTTTCTCATCTGGAAAATGGGGCCAATAATAACCACCACCTTTAAAGGATTGCTGAGAAGCAATGAGTTGATTATGTAAAATGGTAAGAACACTGAGTGTGTTCAATTAGGAGTGTGTTTGGATGGAAGACACAGAAAACTCAGCCCTGTGGCTTTGACAGTTGGCGGTATGGCATATTTTTCATATGTACAAGAAATCCAGATATAGGCAGTTGCTGGCATTGTTTCAGCAGCTTAAGAAAATAAGAACTGAAGTCTCTTAATTTCCTCTTATTTATCCCTCGTGGTCAAAAGATGGCTGCTAATACTCTTGCCAACATATCAATCTCAAGGCAGGGAGACAAAAACCTTCCCAGGAATAAGTTTCCTCACTTCTCATTGGTCAGGACGGGTCACATGGCACCTCTGAGGGAACAAGAGTCTGGAAAAAGTGACTATTTTGCAAGGGAATTTGGAACAACCCACCCAGCAATGCCTTCCACAAACCTTGCGCAGCACTTGGCAAATGCTTAGGTAAGGGCGGCTGGTATCAGGTCCACGGGCTGGAGTTGAGATGCATTTGGGGAAGAAGGGAGAGGTGAACCTGGGGGCAGATCCCATGGGGGTCTTAACTGCCAGGCTGGGGAGTTGGGACATGACCCCGGAAGCTATGG